ACAGGTAGCCGTGAATAAGGTAATGTTGATGGTGAATGTATGACCCAAGATAGTTTTTTCGAGCCTCACAATGGATGCCATTGTACTGGTCAAAAAGTACACGTGTGCGCGTTCTCTCTACATGAGAAATAAGATTCAGATCTCTTAGTAGGTATAATACATAGTATGGTGGTTAGGGTTTGCTCATAACGGTGAGAAGGCCTGTGCAATGGTGTTTTGTGGTGATTTTCGGGACATGCTCACGTGTGGTGAGATGCCTTGTTACAGAATGATTGCTTGTGTATAAGCGTAAATGGAGGTGTGATATGTATGACTCAAGATATATATTTCTTTTCCCTTAAGAAGTATTTATCAAAGCTTTTGGGCCTAGGGTTTAGGTCACCTTTTGAGGCATCAATCACTCCCTTATGTGCATGGGGAGTTATTGACCACCTACTCTTTCGGAAGTAGTGGTGGACTCCTTCTCCTTTAACCAACAGCTTTACACACGTTATCACTTATGTGCATGGGGAGTTATTGACCACCTACTCTTTCGGAAGTAGTGGTGGACTCCTTCTCCTTTAACCAACAGCTTTACACACGTTATCACTAGTGAAGGCGAGCCCTTTATTTTGGTCAGGACATTGCCAATGCGATATCACACTCGGGTGAGGATGCCCTTGAAAACAATACCCCTTTGTCCCACGGTAGACACCCCTTATTGTAAAATTGATAGAATAATTAAAGTCACTTCAAAAAAAGTTATTCAGAGTTTAATCACCCCAAAAAATTTGATATGTGAGATAAACAACAATAACAAATGTTTTCAAAAACAAACCATATTTTTTACTCTAAGTGTTTTTCAATCTCCAATTTTCATTATATGAATCACACAAACCCAATCTATTTAAAGTGTTTAGCAAAAGTTGTCAAATCCCTAAAATATATTTCTAAATAATTTTACACTTTGCATCTCACTAGAATTTCTACCTTATGCAAGTTATCTCTCACAATAACAAATGAAAGGGAAAAAGAAACATATTTATAACTAACAAAATATGGTAGTATCAAAATATATCATTTATCTTTCTCTTTTCTTGTTTGAGATTGTAAAGCATATTACAACAAATAAAAATAAATGAATTTAGAAAATTATTAAATGATCATATATAATATTTATTTATCAAACACTCAACGAAAATGAGATACAAATAAAAGAAAAACCTTAAAAAGGATAAGCATTGTGACACTTAAGTAAAAAAAAAATGATTAGGTAATATAAAAATGATGTTATGGTTGATATAAAGATTTATAGGGTTGACGAAGTTTAGAGTTGAATGAGATGATGAAGAGTCCTGGTCAATTCGTGCATGTAATTGGCATGTCAACTCCTCTTCCTGGTTGCTTCTCCACTATGCTTCACACCAACCACCTCATTTTTGTTTTGGTTCTACCAACCAAGAATACCAACATCTTGGAGTGCCACGTGGAAATATCGTAACCAATCAACACTACTAAGTGATAATCAAACGGTCATAATTAATTTTCAACAAACTCACCTTTTCTTTTTTCAACTTGTCTCTCTCTACCTAACAAAAACACGTGCAATATTATTAGAAGCCTCCAAAACAATTCTCTATATATATAAAAGCTCAACTACTCTTCCTTCACATCTCAGAAAATTCACTACATCTCTTTCATTCATTCTTTCTTTCATAATCATTTTTACTTTCCACTCTCTCAAATTCTAGCTAGCTCTACCAAAATACAACAAAACAACGTTAATATAAGATGGAAGCAGTAGCATCCGCCATTACAAACAACAACGGTTATGATTCATTCTGCTTGACCAATGCTAAAAATAATAACGTGAAAGTGAATACCGCTGATCCTTTGAATTGGGGTGTGGCCGCCGAGGCAATGAAAGGGAGTCATTTGGATGAAGTGAAGCGTATGGTGGAGGAGTACCGCAAGCCGGTTGTTCGTCTTGGTGGCGAGACGCTCACCATTTCTCAGGTGGCTGCCATTGCCGCACACGACCATGGTGTGAAAGTGGAGTTGTCCGAATCTGCTAGAGCTGGCGTAAAGGCGAGCAGCGACTGGGTGATGGAGAGTATGAATAAAGGCACGGACAGTTACGGTGTCACCACCGGTTTCGGCGCCACCTCACATCGCAGAACCAAACAAGGAGGTGCTCTGCAGAAAGAACTCATCAGGTTTTTGAATGCCGGAATATTTGGAAGTGGAACTGAGTCAAACCACATACTGCCACACACTGCAACGAGAGCTGCCATGTTAGTGCGAATCAACACACTTCTCCAAGGCTATTCTGGTATTCGATTTGAAATCTTGGAAGCCATAACCAAGCTCATTAACAGCAACATCACCCCGTGTTTGCCACTTCGAGGTACTATCACTGCTTCGGGAGATTTAGTCCCTCTTTCTTACATTGCTGGTTTACTAACAGGAAGACCGAACTCCAAAGCTCATGGATCTTCTGGAGAAATACTTAATGCTAAACAAGCTTTTCAATTCGCTGGAATCAATTCTGATTTCTTCGAGTTACAACCGAAAGAAGGACTTGCACTTGTTAATGGAACTGCTGTTGGTTCTGGTTTGGCTTCTATTGTTCTATTTGAATCCAACATCTTGGCTGTCTTGTCTGAAGTCCTATCTGCTATTTTCGCCGAAGTTATGCAAGGCAAACCCGAATTTACTGATCACTTGACACACAAGTTAAAGCACCACCCTGGTCAAATTGAAGCTGCTGCTATTATGGAACATATTTTGGATGGAAGTGCATATGTCAAAGCGGCCAAGAAGTTGCATGAGACGGATCCTTTGCAGAAACCAAAACAAGATAGATATGCACTTAGAACTTCGCCGCAATGGCTTGGTCCTCTCATTGAAGTCATTAGATTCTCCACCAAATCTATTGAGAGAGAAATTAACTCTGTTAATGATAACCCTTTGATTGATGTTTCAAGAAACAAGGCTTTGCATGGTGGAAATTTTCAAGGAACGCCGATTGGAGTGTCCATGGATAATACACGTTTGGCTCTTGCATCAATCGGTAAGCTCATGTTTGCTCAATTCTCCGAGCTTGTCAATGATTTTTACAACAACGGTTTGCCTTCAAATCTCTCTGCCAGTAGAAATCCCAGCTTGGATTACGGTTTCAAAGGATCTGAAATTGCCATGGCTTCTTATTGTTCCGAGTTACAGTACCTTGCAAATCCGGTCACAACTCATGTTCAAAGTGCCGAGCAACACAACCAAGATGTCAACTCCTTGGGTTTGATTTCATCTAGGAAAACATATGAAGCCGTTGAGATACTTCAACTCATGTCTTCCACATTCTTGATTGCACTCTGCCAAGCAATTGACTTAAGACATTTGGAAGAGAACTTGAAAAACTCAGTTAAGAACATTGTAAGCCAAGTTGCTAAACGGACCCTTACAACTGGTGTCAATGGAGAACTCCATCCTTCAAGGTTTTGTGAAAAGGACTTGTTGAGAGTGGTTGATAGGGAGCATGTGTTTGCCTATATTGATGATGCTTGTAGTGCTACATATCCGTTGATGCAAAAACTAAGGCAAGTGTTAGTGGAACATGCATTAGTAAATGGAGAAAGTGAGAAGAACTTGAACACATCAATCTTCCAAAAGATTGCAACTTTTGAGGATGAGTTGAAGACCCTCTTGCCAAAAGAGGTTGAAAGTGCAAGGGCTGCATATGAGAGTGGAAATCCTAGAGTTCCAAACAAGATAAATGGATGCAGATCTTATCCACTTTACAAGTTTGTGAGAGAAGAGTTGGGGACTGGTTTGCTGACAGGAGAAAATGTGATTTCACCAGGTGAGGAGTGTGACAAACTATTCACAGCTATTTGCCAAGGAAAAATCATTGATCCCCTTCTTAAATGCTTGGGAGACTGGAACGGTGCTCCTCTTCCTATTTGTTAATTTTATTTGTTTCTCTTGAAAATTCTTTCTTTGTACTAGATTTGTGTAGCAATTCTTACTAGATTTGTTATGCCTTTATCATCATTTCACTTTCCTCCAATGTTAAAGTGAAACTTGTAATTTACTTTTATAATAGAATTTCATTTGTTTGACATACATTTTTGGTTCATTTGTGCAACTATATAATATATCCATTAACTAGTCTTTGGCCAAGTAGGCAGTGGTTAGTCAATCAATAAAAATAAGTATGTGTTTCTTTTAAGATAAGAGTAACAAATAACAGATTAGCAATTTCATCTAAAACAGATTAGCAGTATGTATGCTTGTGAAAATTTTATACAGACTTTTGGAGATAAAATGTCTTGTATCTATCTCTATTTTACTAGTATTGTACTATTAGAATTCTGAGTTCTGATAAATTAGACACATTTAAATTCTTATGGTGTTAAATTGTATATTCTACTTTGATGTCAGATTTATACTTTATTCTATTGTTTTCATGAAATAACATCATATTGAGTTAAAACTTTGGCTAAAAGTGGGCTGTCATGTTAGGTAATAATAATACATGTCTGAGATCAATTTGATTCCAATTTACATCTGTATAAGAGACTTGAATGTTTACAAGTACCTATGATTTGGTTGGATCTCTACCACCTTCAATTCATGTTTAGAGCTCAAATATATTATGAAGTTGACATTTGTAGTTAAGATTCAATACTTCTGCCAAAAGCCCTGATACTCTGTGTGAAATTGATTGAGATTAATACTATATTGATAGAAAATTCAATTCAGTTTTATAAAAGGATTAATACTTGATTCCTGTCTAAAAGGTTGGACCTGATTTTATTAATGTTTGAAAGGATAAGCAGTGTTGTAATGTGATAGCTACAAAAGTTCCCAGTCTATATGGTGTTAACTTTGGTTTTGTGGTAGAGTTTTGGAGTATCATTAAAATGTATTTTTAGAGATTTTATGAATGAGTTACTTGCAAATGGCACCACAGATCTCAGCAGGAACCAATAATCATAAATTGACATTGATATATAATTACATCAATCAATTCTAGGTGTAACTAATCCAACAACTAAAAACTCAACTTCAAATATACAAGTATCTTCCACCAAAAACCCATTACTCAGATTTTTTAGCTTAGTCAAAGTCACGAGTTGTCTAGACCCCCACACTAAATTTGAGCTGGAGAATTTGCGATTAACTGTAACAAAAATTAGATTAAGGTAAAATAAATAGTTGAAGACTTGATTGAGAAGCAACAATCGTTAAGAAAACATATACATGCTTACATTTTCGTTGAGCATGTTGGCCGCTGATTTGGTCTTTGGCACGAAGAGTGCATTCCACAACAAGTTTAGTGTTAGCTGGAAGAGTTGAAGCATCCAAAGCTAAAAATAATGAAACGCATATACCCTTTCCTTCAACTACTCCGTTAGGGTATAACAGAAGCTTCCTAGTAAAAACAAGCAAATAACTTATATGAAAAGTTGATGTATGTTATCATTAGCGTTTATAGTTTAGGGTTTAGGATTGATAAATGAGAAGAATTTCACTATTTACGTACCATTTATAGTCTCCAGCTACAAATGATTCAAACTCATAATTGTCCAAATTTGCAAATGAAAATTTGCTAAATTTCCAGCTATGTGAAACTGTGGCAGATTTCTGTATCATCGATAAGCAATTTCCTTTATTCGTGGTCTTCACGATGAAAACTTCGGCTCCGAAAACGCAATCATCGTCATTCAGATATCCATTTGAAGGGTTAAGAAATGTTTCAAGGTTGATGAATTTCGAGATACCCCATTCTGTTTTCATGACATGAAAACGCCTAACAGTTGCATCTGCATGAAGTGTATTATTTTATGAGCACTAAAAATACTCAATTCTGATAAATTTAGTGTTATATGTTTGATAAGTTTAATTGTATTACCATGTGTTGTAACATACTCGTCGTCATTAAAATTGTATGCAGAAAAGTTTATAATCGCGTTGATTTCCCAATCATTAGGTAATGAAGTTGTGTCCATAAGCATCAAATAAATAGAAACATGACCTTGTCCATTTCCTTTTGTGTTCCCAGTTGGGTAAATAGATAGACTCCTGCGCAATGGGCGATGATCAGACACCAGACATGTTTTTAATATAAAGTGTCGTTGCTAGTATTTAAGGCCAAAAATAATTTGCATACCATTTATAACCTCCTGCTTCAAACTCTTCTGAGACACATTTTTCAATGGAGGCCTTTGAAAGCAATGAGAAGGACTGAATTTTGAATGTGTAATGACTTGGTGGAGCTTTTCTTCCTATAAGAAAATATATAGATTATTAAAAAATCAGTTAATTAACAGAATCCAAAACAAACAAGCGTAAATTGTTAGTTACATGAATCACCTTTCATGGGTGTGGTAGACAGCACCTGGCCAGCAGTTTTCATCTCCGTGATTGATGTGGTAGGCATTCTAGGGAAGATTTTTATTCTGGATTTTGGTGTTTTCTTAAATATTCAACCCTTCACTGAATCTGTATAATTTATTCAGTTTTATGTTGTTAACAAGGAAGGGATTGTTTGTGATTTTATTTGGTTGTGTTTGCACATTATATATAGCTTAATTAATCTTTATAGTTTTGATAAAATGATCATTTCATATGACACACAATCCTTTTCTTGTTGTGGTAGAAACGAGAATGAGAAGTTATTTGAATGTTGCAGCAGAATCAAGTATACTTTTCTTCCATGCTTTTTATATAATTTCCTTGAACTTTGGCCATAATTGGATTTGCTTTCACTCTTTGCGTTTTGTTTGATTTATTAAGTTGTATTTACACAGAACTGAATTCCATAGATAATTAAAAAAAACATCCTGGATTGTATCATAATCTTCAAATTCCCATAAGACACCACTTTTGGCACAGACAATTATCTTTTCAGCATGGAAATGTACAGTGAATCCTTAAAGTGATAAGCAAGCTTTCCAATAGTACGATCAAAGACCTTAAAAGGATCATAGAACTTGGGACGGAGCTTAAGATAATTATGATTACGCACAAGAAGTTGGCGGTAAGAATGCAATTCAAATAAACAAAGTTGCCAATGGCAAAAATGCGGTCACTTCGCTTTTTGTTGGCCTGTTGTAACATTCGGCTTTGGGCGCAAAGGAGCTGAAACAACCGGAGGAATTTAATGTTGGAACACACAAATTAATTAAGGTGAATTAATATAGAATTAAAGTAATTCGGAGAAGATGAAGTTAAAAATAAAGAGAGAAAAATAGAGAGAGTAATTTAGGGTGAGAATAAAAATTGACATTAACAATAATTAAGAGCATTAAAGGCCTTTTATACATCAATTACAAAATAATGGAAAAAACAAAACAACTTAAAAATAAGTTGAAAACTGAAAAAACTACAATGGTAACCGGTTACCATAATCTGGGTGACCGGTTACACCCTCATTTCAGCCCGCCACAACTTTTCAACACACCATCTCATTTCAGTTGGTCCAAGTCCAACATGTTCAAACTCATCTCCAATCTAATAAACACCTCATTTGTTACCCCTTGGTCAACAAATCCACTACTTGGTCTTCGCTTCAACAATACTCCAATCGTAACTTCCCTTCACTCACTAGCTCACTCAAATAATTAAACTGCATCTCTATGTGCTTGCTCCTTATGTGTGCAATCAGATTCTTCACATGGTTGGTCGCAGAAACATTATCAACAAGAAGTGTAATAGTCTCACCCTTATTGCTAACCAACTCCTTCAATAGATTCATGAGCCACATGGCTTGACATGCACACAACAAAGCCGCAATGTACTCGGCCTCACAAGACGAGAGTGCTACCACCGGTTCCTTCTTTGAACACTAAGAGATTAATATCCTACCAAACATAAAGATGTATCCAGCCATTGACTTTCTCTCATCCTTATCACCACACCAATTAGAATCGGTGAAAACAAGTAAATCATATTTTTGCCCCGTATCTGATGCCGAAAATAGAATTCCACAACCAAGAGTTCCTTTAACATATCTAAGGATTCTTTTGACCCCTGCCAAGTGAGACACCTTAGGTCTCTCCATGAATCTACTAGCAATACCGACACTAAATGGTAAGTCCGATCGCGTATTTCATAAGTATCACAATGATCCAATCAATCTCCTATATTGTGTTGGATCCACATCTTGCTCATTCTCACTCTTGAACAATTGCAACTTTGCTTCACATGGTGTAATGACTGCATTACAATAATCCATTTCACACCTCTTCAATATCTCAAGAGTATATCTCCTTTGATGCATGAGCAGTCCCGTTTTTGACCTTTAGAACTCTATGCAGAGGAAATATGTCATAATGCCAAGATCCGTCATCTCGAACTCATCCATAAGTTCACTCTTGAACTTAGAGATACTCTTTTCACAGTTGCAGGTAATCAATAGATCACCCACATACAAGCAAAGGATGATCACACCATTATTTGCATATGATCTCACATAAACTTTGTGTTAGGACATACATCGCTTGAAATCAATGTCAATAAGAAAGCCATAAATGCGTTTGTTCCAAGCTCTTGGAGCTTGTTTCAAACCATATAATGCTTTATGCAATTTGTAGTACTTCATCTCTTGATTCTTTACCACAAATCCGGGGGCTGGTCAACATAAATCTCTTCATCAAGTGGACCATTCAAAAAGGTAGATTTGACGTCCATTTGAAATATCTTCTAATCGTTGTTATTTGCAATGCCAATAACTAATCAGATGGTTTCAAGTTTAGTCACATGTGCAAACACCACCTCAAAGTCTATACATTCACGTTGCAAGAATCCCTTTTCTACCAATCGAGCCTTGTGCTTGATCACCTCGCCTTTGGGATTTGCCTTCACTTTACAGACCCATCGCATACCAATCGACTTCTTTCCAACAGGTAAATAAACCAAATCCCAAGTACAATTTTTTCAATAGATTTCAGCTCCTGCTTCATTGCACAAATCCACTTTGGGTCACTTAGAGTCTCCTGCATTTTCACCGGTTTGGATTCGGCCATAAACGCAAAGTGAACGAAATCACTATCATCATTGATTTTATTGTCTTGGAATCTCTCACATTATTTGAGTCTTTGAGGCAACATCCTTTACCTTGTTGATCTTCTAATATTTTCTTCGTTTCAGACCTCATTCAGGGGTTGCACAACAATTTTGAAACTGACATGATCATAAAAAATAAAGCTGCTGGAGGTTATGTTCTGCTGGTAACCGGTTTCACTAGAATGAAATGGCTAGGTGTAATAGGTTACACCTGCTCTGCAGACCTGGAAGTGTGATTTCTTTGCATGTAACCGATTACATCATATTGCACTGCCTGCATGTAACTGGTTACCTTGGGATTAACAACACTAATTTCATCAAAAATTACATCTCGGTTTATCACAATCCTCAGATTTCGTGCGTTAAACAATTTGTATCCTTCAATAGAGTGATATCCAACCAAAATCATCTCCCTACCCTTGTTGTCCAACTTCTTTCTAAGTTGACCCGACACATGACGATACACCACCGAATCGAAAACTCTCAAATGGATTAGATTCGGTTTGAATCCGGACCATACCTCTTCCGGTATCAACTTCTCAAGCTTCTTAGTAGGGAACCTATTCAACAAATAGGTGGCTGTAGAGACCGTTTCTCTGTGTAGCTCATTCGACAAGTTTTTTCCATTTAACATACTTCGAACCATGTTCATAATCAATCGATTCTTTCTCTCGGCATCACCATTTTGTTGTGGTGTATAGGATGGTACAACCTCATGCATTATCCCCTCTTGATCATAAAACATTCCAAAGTCATTTAAGACGTATTCACCTCCACTGTCCGTTTTGAGCACTTTGAGTTTTTGACTGCATTACCTTTCAACCATAAACTTAAAATTCTTGAACACATCAAACACCCCATCCTTCCTCTTGATAAGGTAAATTCATATCTTTCTACTAAAATCATCGATAAAAGTGACAAAATACTTATTACCACCCAATGTGTTAACTTGCATTGGCCCATAAACATCAAAATACACAACCTCAAGCTGAGTCTTGGTCCTATAAATAACAAACCTTGATTTTAAAAGCTCTTTTAAAATCGCTAGCAAATAATCCTCTGAATCGTGCGATGATGGACGCAAATAGTCCTAGCCATAAGGCGTGCCACTGTAATGGCAAAGTTGTTACCTCTTTCTCAAGTATCTACAAAATGTGGCAGGATGAAAAATTCATCTTTAAAATCATAAAATTATTATAAACATCGAAATATTAATGCTAATCATATCAACATAAACATTCCTCCCTTGCCCCATCATTTATAACAATAAGAAGCGCAAGGAAAAGAAATCTTCAAAGTAACGGTAACATGTTATAAAAACATGAAGAAAGAGCAAAGTTAACATTAAAGGAATAAATTAGTATCAGAAGAAAACCAACTATTGAGATGAATAAGTTAAAACATATCTCAAATCAAATAGATATCCAACCAGACTTATTTTTGTTCATATGTTTCTCTGAAGCAACATCTTCGTTATTCTTCATATGTTTCTTCGGAGTAACATGTTCCTTGTTCTTCGTATGCTTCACAACCATGCAAATCTGCAAAATCAAAACGAGAAGGTAAAAGGCTAAGAAAATATTGATTGAATAAGAGAATCAATGGTAAAAAAGCTTGAGATTAAAGATTTAAATTAAAGGAGAAGAGAGAAAGAAAGAATGAGATGAAGGGTTGTGGTAGTGGAAGAAAGAGAAGAGAAAAAAAAGGGTGGAGGCTAACCTAAGGTTCCAATCGACGTGTTTTTCAAATATCAAATGGTTCAAACTAAAAATATTTTCAACAATAAAACTAAAAATAAGTTAAGTAATAAAACAAATAATAAGATAAGTAATAAAGACAAGGTTTACCAAATTCTCTTGCAACATTGGGTTTAGAGAGTGAAGCTCTCCATTCTCTTTAAAACTAGGATTTCCTGATATGGATGTGTAATACCCCAAATTTTACCCTTAAATTAGTCGTTTCATTTCGCATTTCATCTCATTTTGCATTGCATTGTAAACTAACCGCTAACCGGTTTGCTCAGTCTGTTGGTTTTGCAGGAAAAATCACACTGTGCGCTTTTTAGCTTATGAAGGATAAAATGGTCACTAATTTGCAGCCCGCTGACAATTTATGAAGCTGAGTCGTCTGCATGGATCCCTCGAGCGATCAGGGTTTCCATCTCCGAGTCATGTGACCTATTTGAGGAATGGTTGAATTTTACGGCAGTTTGTGACGTTAAATTTCTCGTGACATAACACATTTTATTCAAGAGCCGAGATTTAGTTGTCAGTTGGGTTGAAGTGATGTTTGAGTAATAAGTCATCTGAAGCTGAATGTGTTGAGATATCAGTGGTTTCAGGTTAAATCGGTGCGAGAATGTGCTTTGAATAA